TAATAAACACTAAGTAAAAGAAACTTATGGAGCAAAGGATTTATTTCATCATCCACGTTCCAGCTCATTACCAAGAGAAGCCAAGGCAGGAGCTTGAAGCAGAAAGTTTACTTACTGGCTTCATCAGCATTTTCATGGAGCCCATGCCTACCTGCCTAGGGATGATGCTGCATATCCTTTGCCCAGGTGACCGACATAACTCTAACTCTTGTAACATATTCAGCTTCCATTTGGCTCCATCATACTGGCCTCATTGTTTGCCCTGGTTCCCATGAGACAGGACATCTTCACCATTGCAATTTCTCCCATGTTCTTTATCCATTCCATAGAGTGATGCCTGGAGTGTAATAGGCATTAAGAAGACAGTGTACTAAAAATATTAAATTAATAGCCTATTCATTCATTAGATGACTAATTTGGTAGACCATGGTAATTTAAAAGAGCCTCCTCTTTCCTTTGCTTAACTCACAAGATTAATTCCCACAGCGCTTTCAAGCACTAGAGCCAGAATAAAGGTGGCATGCAAGCTGAAATAAGGAATGTAAAGTGTAACCCTTCAGAAATGGAGAGTTAGTAAGCCATGGATAGGAAAGGCCTTATCCACCATAACAGAAAAAAACAGATGAAGGGAGCCAATTTAGCAATAGAGTACCATGATCATATCAGTTTTAAGCAGATAATAATGTACCTCCTGTCAGAAACTGTCCATTGGCAATCCTAGTGTCAGCAAAATTGGATGAAGTTTTATTCCTTCTATGAGGACAACAGATAAGAGCAAGTTAAACTGAAGGTCAGAGAAAGGTAACAGGAGGCTTAGCTGGGCTAAGCTAACTCATTGCTGAATTACAGCTGCATGGAGCTATAAGAATTTGAAAGGACAAACAAGCTCACAAACTGTGATCTGCAGTACCACCTGCCATCTGTATTGCCCGGAATTTAAGAACAGCTGCTGCTAAGCATGGGCAGATTCAATTTGTGCAAATGCAATACATAAAACACCATCAGACCCAAAGAACTGACTGCAGGCACACAGAAAATTCTGATGTTCTACACACAGTACAGCTGTAGTAAGTGTGTTCATTCATTCATTCCTCACAAGAATTTACTGAATAGCAAGTGGCCGGTGTTATACGGAATGTGTATGGATCACTGAATTGATGAAAATCACTAGCCTCATGGAGATTATAGCCAATGAGGAGAAGTCAAAATAAACAGATGTCTACACTAGGATGTGAGATGATAATTGCTATGAGAAAAAGAAGAGAGAGAGTTACTAGGAAAAGCCAAGAGAGAAATGAATTCTGAATGTTTGTCAAGTGGTCGGTGAATGCCAGGTGAGCCTGGGAGGATGATTTGAAGAAGGTAAGGAATTTAACCTGGCAGTCATCTCCATCCATGAGTGAAGAGGAAAACCTCAACTACCCACAGGGCTTCAATTTAGAGGCTGCTACTGTTTGGGGTCATCCTTTGTTTTAATAGGAAAAGATATATTACTATTTGATTAGTCTCTTAGGGCCTGAGCTGATTCCCTTGAGACATACTCAGGTTCTGAGAGCTTCTCAGAGATAGGGCCAAGCAAACCTCCAAGGCTTAAGCTAGGTCTTTCCTTCCAGGATCACCCTCTGGAAGTGACACCAGGAAATATTTCAGGCGTAGCTGACATATTTGCAACCTATCAGGAGACAGTGCCAAGTTTGGACTCATTTGATATAATCACTTAAAACCAACAAACAAGTAACACACTGGGCTGAAGGATTGCTCAGTAGTTAAGAGTATTATTATTCTTCCAGAGTTTCTGAGTTGAATTCACAGCATCCACATTAAGAGTGCCCACACCTTTTGCAAATCAAACTCAGAGAGATCTGATGCCTCTGGTCTCCATAGGTGCACCCCACAACACACACACACACACACACACACACACACACGGCATACAGTCACACAAACACACACTTCTATATGATTAAAATGAAGGTAAATTGTTTTTAAAAAGTACTGTGTTGACCTTGGCTAGAGGGATGGTTCAGTAGTTCAGAACTCTTGATACTCTTGTAGATGGCCCTGGATTCATTTTCCATTACCAAGGTGAGGCAGATAGCAGTTACCTGTAACTTCTTTCCCTGGGGAGCTGGTGCCCTATTCTTGCCTTTTTCGGCACTGAAGACACACAGTACACAGACATGCATGCAGGTAAAACACTTATACATATAAAATATGAATAAATACATTTCTTAAAAATAGTAGGTTGAAGAGATGTCTGTGCAGACTGCTGATTATAGCATTAATCACAATAGCCATTCTGAATCTATCAAAATCAGGAAAAAAATAAATATGGATGATACTCAGCCTTTAAGAAGTAGAAATATATCATTAAAAACATGATGATAGGCTGAGATTATGTTATGTTCCCTAAGCCAGGTCACAGCAGGAAGAATACAGCATGACCTCATGAGGCTTGTGTGACTTTATGAAAGTTGTACTCATAGCCACAGAATGAAGTGAAAAGATGGAGATGATGCTAGTTATAGAGAAGAAGGCTACCTTTCATCTTGGGTAAATGCAGTATTATAAATAAAGTCGTTTAAAACAAAACAGAAAAACTAGAATATGAAAACTCAATTGTTATGAGCAAATTTTTGTCTCAGGCCTTGATATTCTAGATAATCCTTATTAAAAGAGAGGAAGCAGATACCTATAAAGAAGGAAAAACTCTTCTTCAATTGCTTGGGCAGTATTGCATTGCACAGATAGAAAAGAGGTGCCCTCAGGATACTGTAACTTTTCAGTTACGTTGGCATGTTCTGTGCCTAAAATATGCTGAACCTGTAAATTCATGATCATGTAGCTATATTTGTTTTTGTAACATATAGTATCATACTCATAGGGAAGAACTTTCCTGAACCAGTACAAATAGGAGATGTGTTTGTGTAAGGAAACCTGTTAAAGGATGCTACCCGAGTTCCACATACAAGTAGGAAAGAAAAAGCTCTTTAGTAGGAAAAGGTGCTTTATTTGTGACAAAGGTGACATCCACTTTTTAAATCTCTAATCACTCATAAAACATGTGTTTACAAGTAAATCAAATGCCAGACAAAGGCAAGGGTGTTAACGATGATGGATTTCAGCACTCTATAGCTTTCTTAAAGTCAATTCTCCATGCTTGCATCTTCCAACTACAGGACTCAAATGGACCTGAACTTCTAAAAGTAAACTGCAGTGCCCTCTAGGCTGAGCAGGTGCCTGATGAGTTGCTTGCTTAAGATCTGCTGCAGACCTTTCTCTTGCCTCTAGGAAGGGGGCTGGCCATCCATTTGTCCTCTGTGTTGGCCTGCAAAAACGCTTTTATTTTTAATCTGAAAAAGTTGTAAAATCGTAAATTTGACATTTGAACTTTCCTCCTCCAATTCCTTTAAATGAATGCTATTTCTGCAAGGACAGAATTAGCTGAAGAGAGTGTGCTACTCACTTGTGATCTCAGAACTCTGAAAGCTAAGTGGGACATCACAAATTCAAGTCCATCCCAGGCTATAGAGCATACTCCTGTCGCAAACAACAAACAAATGACAGGAAGAGGGGAGAGGAAGGGAAAGGAGGGGGTAGGAAGAGGGAGAAAGAAGAAGCTAGAGGATGGGAATGAGGACTAGCTTTTTAAAGAATTATTGTGGATCTGATTTGTTCTTGATTATTTATTCACCTATTTCTTTATATTTCAATGTGAAAGCATTCCACTCAGGGAGAGGAAACGGGTTAGGCTTGTATGAGACTGCAAAGAAAGATGTCACAATGAGTCCTCCACTCCCTAGGTTCAATGGATAGAATACTCCTTAGATACAGAATTATGAAAGGAAACACCATTGAATATTTTAATATTAGACTATGGAGCTATTTGTTAACATGGTTTACAAAAGCTCAGATTTAGCACACACACACACAGAGACACATACACACTTCCTCCTGAGGCTCCATTAAAAAACAAACAAACAAACAAAAAAACACCCAACTGCTTCCTCATTTAGAAATGAATTTTAAGTTCAAAGACTCCAAAGGGTAAACAGGATCCAACAGTTGGGAAAGGGAGCTAGCTAGTGGGTTTGCTTTTCCCCCAGAGCATTTACACATTAATCACCAGCTTTGAAGGATTTCTTTCTAACATTCTTTTCTGTGTACACTAAGCACTGCAATGCCTTACACCTTTGGAAGACACAGAGACTTTGCTAGGCTTTACCGTTCTTGGCTGTCCATCTCAAATTTAGTGTGTGTGTACTCAGTATTGGTGATGAGTCTCAAATTATGATCTAATCTTGGTCATTTCCATTTTAGTGCCTCTCCCTTTAGAGGGTCAAAGACCATTTGATCATTTCTGCCCCGATGTACTTCCTCTATCTGCTAAGGGACAGTCGCAGGGGCAGGCACAGGGGCAGGCACAGGAGCAGCTGGGTGTGTAATTGTGGTGTGCCTAAGTGGGAGGGGACTTTTATCACATCTTTCCATCTATCAACCTAAACCAGAAAACAAGATATAAAAACTAGATTGGGGAGGGGGAGCATGGAATCACACTGCCCTAATAGTAGAAGTACCCTGACTTCCAGCCCTCAATCTCAGAGCCAAAACCATGCAGGCTCAACATCCTCTCAGGCTTAATTTTGATGAGAGTGATAACCCTCTCAGGAGGGGCGAGATAAAAGTGTGTCTAATTACACGTTCATGGCAGAATTCTCCTGAGCCAGGTTCCCACCCATCATCTGGGGTAAATTTCCCTCGCGGGGCTCCGGATGCACAGGAGACCCTTCTCTTTAAGCCAGCCCCCCTTGCCCCTCACTCCGCCCACGCCCAGGTCTCTGGGCTGGTTCAAGCTTCCCAGAGCCTTGGTTGGTGCTGGCAGGCCATCAACAAATCACCTCCTGGGGCTGCTAAGGAGAGGGGCTGGGATGCGGTGGGGTGGCAGTGGGGGTTGTGTTCGTAGTACTCCCAGGAAGTCCTGATGTCACGAGAGCAGCAAGGACATCGCAAGGAGGAGTCGAGTTACAGTAAGGATGGGCAGTGGAGCGCGCGGCCGGAGCACACGCTCCAGCCGCGGGAGATCATAGCCGGGAAGGCAGGAGCCTGTACAGCTCTGCTCGCCCAGCCCGCCCGGGAGGAGGCACGCTCCGAGCTTCTGCTCCTCAAGCTGGAAACATTCACACTGACCGTAGCATGCCACGGCTCTGCTTGGCGTGCCAGCCCTGGGTGCGAGCAGAGGCTGAAGACGCCACAGTGGGGTTTCAGCTGGTTGATTAATGAGAAAAATAATGTATTTTGGTGAGTGTTCACTCTGATGATGCAATTCGGGGGGGCGGGGGTGCCCGGCGGCTCTCCATCATGCAAGCAAACGCTTTTTTTTAACCAAAATCTTTAAGCTGCTATAATATATTACACCAAAGGAACCTCCAGTGGGCAACTGGCAGACCCGAGAGTGCGGCATTACAAGCTTTCTTTGTGCCACCTTTGAGGATGGTAATCAATTGTGCACGGATGTAAGCTGGAAAAGAAGAGAAGAGGGTGGGGTGGATAAACTTTGCTTTGACTTGTGGGCACGAAGTTGGTTTATTTAGCTAGGTGGAGGAGATGTGGTGAAGCGTGGGAAGTCATGGGCTAACTTAATGGAATGCGAGACAAAGTTCCCACACGACTGATGTCTTGCGAGCTTAGTAAACATGAATGTCTTTTTTAGCATTGGGGTTTTTCCTATTTCAGAGGCAGGGAAACAGTGTCGTTCAAGAAGTCCTTCCCAGCCCCGTGTTACTTCAGGCCAGGCGATGATAGCACCAAATGCTTATTACTTTAAATCTTCCGAGGTCATGAGGCTGATATATGTGTGCGTGCGGTTTAGTTTGGGGCTGCGGAGGAGCGTTCCCTGAGGTTTTCAGCTGAGCTGCCTGCCTTTGCAGAAAGCGTGTAGAGGCTTAGATGTGGGCTCTGGGCTGAGCACTGTGAGCAGGCTGGGGGCTGAGTTGTACCTTCGCAGTGCAACGCTGCAGCTTACATCTGAGACAAGACAGAGACCCTCACTTCTGAGAAGAGACGAAGGAATTAAACGGAGGAGCCTTTCCTCCTCCCTGGAGTTATGCTTTCATTCTGTAAGTCCCAGCCGGTGTCATCGTATAACAGCATCTATCTGACATTAAAAGGTTTGTGGGAGCAATTGGAGAGGGGCTGGGGGTACTATTGTATGCTGCAGACGCAATGGGGGATTTGGGATTTGCTTTAAGTATGAAATCAACAGTCTTCCTTCAAGTTAAATTTAGATTTGTGTGGCTGGGCGCTATTAGTTTGTCGGGCATGCATTTCCCTGCGTGTTATTTGCTTTGCTTTGTCTTGGTTTTTGGAGCCTTTTGAAACATTTGAGAAAGTGTTCAAGGAACCTGAGTTGCAAAACCTTAATGCCTTTAGTTGTCTTGACAGCAGCTTTGATTGCCCTATAATTTGTGTCATTTTAGAAAAGAAATCCTAAAATAACCAGAATTGATTTAAAAGAAAGAATCCCCATTCCATAGCCCAATTCAAGCAGAATTCAGACTTAAGCAGCACTTTTCCCGTGGGTAGTTATAAGGGGCATGCTTATGTATTAGTAATGAACACAACAGGATGCAGCATGTGTGCGATTTTTTAAAAACGGGGAAACTTATGAAGACAATTTCTTTCTAGCATAAGTCTCAGCTTCTATAATGAGATTCAGGGAAATAGAAGAATATTATGATTTTAGTTTTAATTTTGGGGGTATAGTAAAAATGCCTGGTGGGATTTTGAAGTAGAACTAAGCAGAGAAGCAGGAGGCTCCAAGTCCAGGTAAGAGGCTGCCCATGCTGTGCTGAACTGCATATGGTGACTGACTGTGGTGAACTGCATATGGTCACGGAGCTAGCTCATGTTGTTAGCTGTGTGCTAACCCAGTCGTTTTGTAACAGGGCAGCTCTACAGGCAATTAGTTTCGTGTAAGCTCTTAATAGTATGAAATTGAAATGTAATGTCCCACTTACTCCTGCTGAAACTGCACTTTTGACAAGGCCAGGTTAAAGCTGCCCTCAAGGTTGTAAACACAGCTTTGTCTTACCATCAGCCTCAGCATCATTCCAGTGTGACAAATGTTTTTACATTCTTAAAGGAAGTCATGTGTATATCAAAAATGTTAGGCTTTAGCAATTATGCTATTCAGCCCCTCACTGAAGCTGCTAAAACGTCAGAACCCTTGGAGCCAAACTGCCTCTAAAAAAATCACCTGGCACTAGAACTAGGGCACATAGATAACAACAACAACAACAACAATAATAATAACACATGCATATATACGTACATACATACATACAAACATACATACATAAAATGAGAATAACCTAGGCATCTTCCAATGCCATAGCAGGCTAATGTGTGCATGCCTGCACATGCACATGTGTAAATGTTTATGTGCATATGTACATAGATCTAAAAATATTTCTATTTCAGATAGTTGTTTTTTTTTTAAACACAGTGCTTTCAGAGCCAGGCAGTGGTGGCACACAACTTTAATCCCAGTACTTGAGGCAGAGGCAGGTGGATCTCTGAGGTGGAGGCCAGCCTAGTCTATACAGAGTGAGTTTCAGAACAGCCAGGGCTATACAGAGAAACCCTATCCTGAAGGAAAAATAGAAAAAAGGAAACAAAACCAATGCTTTCACTTGAAAAATTATTGATACTTCATTATTTTCATCATTTTTGAGCTGTTAATGAATTATCAAGCCAGGACTATTAGGGGCAAAAGGTCTGGTGACTTGTGGCAATAGGATAAGCAGTGTCCCCAGTAGGAGTGATAAGAGCATGGTGAAGCCATGTGAAGAAGTGAATTGAGAGACCGGTGGGTTATTCCCTTCTCACACACATAACCTGTTTTGCAAGGTGTTACCCCATTCAACTGTAGACTCCTTCCCTGATGAGGCTGACTGCATCTACCTGTTTTAATCTTCTTCCCCTTGGGGCACTGAGTAGCTGGACCTGTGCAAGGTCAGCTGGAGTGACTTGAGTGTGCATGCAAATGGATGAGCTGTATGTGTGTGATTTCCAGTTCTTAACACAATCCCTATCTGAGTCTGTTCTCTCATACCTACGGCTCTGATGGACTCTTTTAACGACTTAAGCCCCACTTTCATGTCCTATTGAGATTTCAATGTAGGATTTTCAGTAATTGTCTGCACGTGCTATTTAGTGATTTGAGTTTGCCATTCAGTCACTGTGGGCGTGCATGTCACCCTATCGATTTTACATTCATTATCGTAGTTAAATGTGAGAAACACAAAGGAGAAAGTAAAGGGAAAATCCCACTCAGTAACACAGTCAGTGGGATATGCTATAGAAGCAATGGGAAAATAGCAAAGATGATGAAATTAACCTTCATGCCCCCATAAAGATTTTACAAAGTTAAAAATTACTTGTGCCACGGATTAACAGCCATTAATAATTTATTCACTACTGAAAGCCAGGGACCTAGGAGACATCTCACCAGACCCAGGAAGAGAGACTGTGGGTGGTTGTCAGTACAACAGGCTGGCTGCCAGGTCGCAGTGGGGCTGAAGAGTGTGCCGGCATGAAGGACAGATTGTTTGCTTGAACGCATCACTGCAGTCGCTCACTGGCCAGCAGAAGGTTGTACTAAGTCACTGTTTCCAGCTCTGGGCACCATAAGTCTGGATCATTCTCTTCCCCATCTCATCTTTTTCTTTCTTGTTGAAGGGTCTTCATTGACAGTGGGCATACCAACCAAATGAACTGTCCTCAATTGGCCACAAAGGTGCCATGCTTTTTCTGTACATGCCAGGAAAGAAACAAGTTGCTTAATTGTGCTCAGGAATTTCTGTATTGCCTCACATCAGTGCTTCTAGACCTGAACCATCCAAATACGACAAAAAGATCATCTAAAAGTGGTTGAGGCCAACTCCTTGATAATACTCCTAAAGAAGAAAATGATACACCTAAAAAAATTAGGCAGAACTGAGAGGCAAATGTTAGCACTCACTGCAAATGTTACTATTAATAGTATAATAATTAAACCCAGAGAAAAGGGCAAGCAAATTTTAGAAAGTGTGACTGAGCTGTTCAAGTTCAGCTTGATGTTAATTGTGGTTTGGCTGTGTCCTTTAAAATGACTAAGGAAAGAAAAAGAAAAAAGAAACAGGAAATCTAATGGTGTACCTGTCATATGCAAAAATGCTTCACAAGGAAGTTTTTAATACAACAAACAGAGCAAATGTCTAAAGAGAATACTCTTATCTTATCTCTTTCTTGTTAATAGATATACATTGTCATCCTTGAAAGGATGGTTTTCCCTGGGATACTTAAGAGGCGCTCACTTCAGTGTTTGCATCTCTAACACAGTGCCAGAAAGGTAGTGCAGTGAGGAGGAGATGAGCAGAAAGCAGCAGGCAGCACAAAGAAACATGCCTCTCTTTCTGTGCACCCAACTCCTCACTTGCAGTAAAACATCCATTATGAGAAATCAGGTTTCTGTTTTTTTCCAGACATATTTCTATAGCTCCCAAACTGATAAGGACAGAGAATAATTTAGGAAGTGGTACATCCAAGTTCCTCTATTTGGATGTTGAATTCATACTTTCAAGTCTTACTACAAATGGATCACAATGGCATACCATGCAACAGTAGCAATTAGGAGTGGGGACTGTGATTGACATATACTATCAGGAAGGGTCCTTTAAACAAACCTGAATCTAAGGGACCTTCAAATACATTCTCCCTAAAGCTGGTTTCCTCCGAATTCATTTGAAGTTTTCAGTTTACAAAGCCAAATTTGGTTATTGTAACAGTAATACAGATTCTTCAATACAGCCTTAGAGTATGTGCTTTTCCCTCCTGCCTTTTTCTTTTTCTTAAAGGCCCTTCTCAGTGGCTATAATTATATGGAAATGAGATGAGTTTATTTAAGGGATAAATCCCCAAATTCATGAGATAATGAAGACTTACAAAGTTGTCCTTTTGTGGGTGGCAAATTGTTCTGAAATAACAAATGAAAAATTTAAATTAATGGTTTCTGACTTCCTTTTTAGAAGATGGGGCTGCAGCTGCTTAGTACTGAGAACTCTTCCAATAAAAAAAGGGTGTGTGTGTGTGTGTGTGTGTACAACATTGTAACCTTCCACAGTGTTTTGTTATGTAGATACCCCAATATTATTCCTCATCCACAGCTTTTGTGTGTTACTTAATCTTTTTGCATCATTTGAACGATTACACTAAAGTGCTGATTAATATGGTAGATTTAATGAACATCTTTAGCTTAG